ATTTTACATGAAATTTTTTCTTTCAGATCTAAAAGAATAGAAAATAGATTTCTCTCTCTCTCTCTCTTTCTCTCTTCCTGGAAAAAAATATAAAACAAGTTTCTCTTCAATGAAATCACTTGGATCGGATAAATATACGGTGTTCGTAGATCATTGTTCGTCGCGCAACTTTTTCATCGATCGCGGTAACGGAATTGCATAAATGAAAGTGGACAGTTAGCGATCGGTCAGCTGTGTCCTTTCAAATTCTCAAATCTCAATTTTAATCCAGGGGAAGAACAAGTTTGAAATGAGCTGAAATCCAGCAGAAAAATAATCAACAAAACTGATCGACAAAATTAAAAAGAAATCTTTTTAACCTTTTTCGCCTTTCGTTAAAAATAAAATAATATTAAAATAATATTTCTTCCTATTTATTTATCATCAATCTGCGTGCTGTATCCAAGTTTTTCCCTCCTAAAACGAGAGAGAAATGATGGAGCAATGGCCACGGACGAGCAAACAATATCCATCATTCTTTTACGGTCGATGATTCGAATATTTCTGATTGATTACTGTTCACTTACTCCTGGGACACTTGCTTGCGTGTCGCGAAATTGAAATTGGTGGGGCAGCGATCTTTTTGAATCGCCAAGTCGATATAAAGGCTTTGCCCGTCGAGGCGAGATCATTTCATGGGAAAGTGATGTGGCTCGACGAACCGGAAACGGAATAAGTGTTCACTGATCGCGCATCATGATCTCCTACAACCACCGTTCTCTTCCCTTCGATGGATTCTTTTTGGTAACATTGCCTTCCATTCGCTTTCTTTTTTTACCTAAAAATTTTTGATATTTCAGAAATTGTTTTCCAATTATTCATACATAATAATTGAATTCATTTTGCAAAACTTCAGAGTTTAATAAATTTATTTTCCTAATCAATATTTTTTAGATCAAAATTGTTTTTACCATTACCATTATTGGAGTACTTGTTTTAAAGCTCCTAGTTAAAGATAAATTTCTCTGACATAGATATTTGGCTTAAGTTTGGCCATCTGTTGGACACCGGCAAACGCCAAGATCTACGAGGATCGCTTCAAATCCTTGACAGCCAATGATCGTTCATGGCTTCGTACAAGCCGCGAAGTTCCTTATTACGTTGTCCCTTCAGAACACTCTCCATCTTACGCCAGCTTCTTAGAATCGCGAAGAAACCATCGAGCAGCATTCGACTCGTCGGATGCTTCCCTCGGACCAGCAAAAGACCGGTACTCGATTTCGGCCAGCAAGAAGGTTCCCACTGAAAACAAAAATTTCAAAAAAGTAGTATCTCCATTCTACACAATCAAAGATTCCCAAAAGTACAAGGACATGGTGATGAAATCTGGCGTTCCATATTGCCAAGAGATCAAAACAGGGCGTGCGAATAAGGATGGGAACAGCAAAGAAAGCATGATCTGCTACAAATGCAAAAATCCTAAAAATGGGGCCACTTACGAGCAATGCTCTTACGGTTCGCATCCTTCCACCGATTCTAGCAATATTGAACAAAGCTCACCACCTTCACGGTTCAGAAACAAGAGGTCAAACTCTGACGAGGCGTTCTCCGGTTTCAAAGATTACAGAAGGGATGGAAATCCGTACAGGTTCAACGACAAGATATTTTCAGAGGCCACGGACGATGTTCCAGCAGAGTATAAGAAGAAAAACGAAAAATGTGAAAAGGTAGTCAAGGATTCCATGATGTGCATGGTGTGCAAAGATACGAAGAGTAATGGCAAATACGAGCAATGCACCTACATTAGACAACCGACAGAGAAGAAATATACCTACACGAAATCTAGCTCTCTTAAAAATCCCAATGGATCCGAGAAAGAGGATGGGAAAAGATCTGATAGAAAATATTTTGGAACTAGGCCAGTTAAGGAAGAATACTCGAGTTCTGAGGGCAAAGAGGAGCCAGAGAGGGAATCTCGAGAAGAATACAAAGACTCGACCGGCAATTGCAAGAAGGTCCAAAAAGATTCGAAGACTTGCACGGTCTGTAAAGATCCCAAAACGGGTGGAAATTACGAGAGGTGCTCGTATGCCTACGAACCAAATGATAAAGTTTATAAATTTAGTAGAACTAAGAGTTTTGGATACCCTACAAGTTCTTCCAAGGATGACGAGTCTTCTGGTGACGAGTCCAGTCAGGACGAAGAGAGGAGATCTAAAAGCGAACTCGAGGAATACAGGAGAGACTATTCCATTCCTGAAAGCTACTACGACAAGAGTCACTCCTCTCCATTAAGTTCTTACTTCAAGGATGAGGAACCTAGGTCCAGTTATCGTCAAGCTGCTTCGCAAAACTCTAAGTTAATCTCTGACGACGACGACGATTATTTATCTGGCTATGAGAAATCTAAGTCAGAATCTGAGAAAGTTGCCAAAAGTATCGAACCGAGTCACTGCAAAGAAGTTCAGAAAGATTCCATGACTTGCAAGATCTGCAAAGATCCTAAAACAGGGAGCAATTCCGAGCAATGTTCGTATAAATATCAACCAAGCGACAAAAGTTACGCTTATTCGAAATCTAGATCAATTGGCAGCCCAACAGAATCAAACGACAAATCTTACGATGAATCTGAGACGAAAGAGACCGAAAAGTTGCCCTACGAGAACGAAGGTTATGATTACTCTTCCGATAAAAGTCCCTACATTACCGATCAAGCCGCCAAAACAGAATTTCCAACTTCCGACGAATCCAAGTCTGAAGTAATAGAAAAAAAATCATCGAAATCCGCTCCGAAAAAAAGCGACGTAGGTTTCTACGATGCATTTAAGAAGAAAGAGGAGATCCAGAAGGTTCTACAAGAATTTCAAAAGGAAGATCGTTCCAATTGTAAGAAATTAATGAGAGATAAAATGACATGTTATCAATGTGTCGACGACAAAGGATTCAAAAAGGAGGAATGTGCTTTCGTGACTTCGGAAGAACCAGCTGAGGATAAAATTAATTATCGAGAAGCGAAAGAGGAGCCGACTAAAAAGATTCCTAGATCGGTTATTGAAAATCTGGACGATGTACCTATTGAACCAGAAGCTGCTGCCAGTGAGAAGGTCTACGTGCAACGAGTACTGCCTAAGAAGAATTCTGGAAAAATTGAGGCATCCAAGGAGACTGAACCGTATGAATACGTGGAAGAAACTAAACCTGTGTTCGATAAGATTCTTGGATTCACACTTCCAGCGTACATGCTGAGTACTTCTGAGCACGAAGAGGAGTTTGATAAGATTATGTCAGGCAGAAAAATTTGAAAATAATATTTTATCTTATTTTTTTTTTTTTATTATCTCTTTTAGTAGTAGATTTGACGATGGTTGATCGTTTGTAGATAAAATAGAATCTAACTAATTCTAATAATTAGAATTAGAGTTTTTATTTGGAATTCAAAGTTGAAAGCTAAAGATAATTATTAGATAATTGTAATTGATA